CTACTGGACACAATGACACTCTACTGAACACAATGACACTCTACTGAACACAATGACACTCTACTGAACACGATGACACTCTACTGAACACGATGACACTCTACTGGACACAATGACACTCTACTGAACACAATGACACTTTACTGGACACAATGACACTCTACTGAACACAATGACACTCTACTGGACACGATGACACTCTACTGGACACAATGACACTCTACTGGACACAATGACACTCTACTGAACACAATGACACTCTACTGAACACAATGACACTCTACTGAACACGATGACACTCTACTGGACACAATGACACTCTACTGGACACAATGACACTCTACTGAACACAATGACACTCTACTGAACACAATGACACTCTACTGAACACAATGACACTCTACTGGACACAATGACACTCTACTGGACACAATGACACTCTACTGGACACAATGACACTCTACTAGACACAATGACACTCTACTGAACACAATGACACTCTACTGAACACAATGACACTCTACTGAACACAATGACACTCTACTGAACACAATGACACACTAGACACAATGACACTCTACTGAACACAATGACACTCTACTGAACACAATGACACACTAGACACAATGACACTCTACTGAACACAATGACACTCTACTGGACACAATGACACTCTACTGAACACAATGACACTCTACTGAACACAATGACACTCTACTGAACACAATGACACACTAGACACAATGACACTCTACTGAACACAATGACACTCTACTGAACACAATGACACTCTACTGAACACAATGACACACTAGACACAATGACACTCTACTGAACACAATGACACTCTACTGGACACAATGACACTCTACTGGACACAATGACACTCTACTGGACACAATGACACTCTACTGGACACGATGACACTCTACTGAACACAATGACACTCTACTGGACATGATGACACACTACTGGACACAATGACACTCTACTGGACACGATGACACTCTACTGGACACAATGACACTCTACTGGACACACTGACACTCTACTGGACACAATGACACTCTACTGGACACGATGACACTCTACTGAACACAATGACACTCTACTGAACACAATGACACTCTACTGAACACAATGACACTCTACTGAACACAATGACACTCTACTGAACACAATGACACTCTACTGAACACAATGACACTCTACTGGACACGATGACACTCTACTGGACACAATGACACTCTACTGAACACAATGACACTCTACTGGACACAATGACACTCTACTGGACACGATGACACTCTACTGGACACAATGACACTCTACTGGACACAATGACACTCTACTGGACACAATGACACTCTACTGGACACAATGACACTCTACTGAACACGATGACACTCTACTGGACACAATGACACTCTACTGGACACAATGACACTCTACTGGACACAATGACACTCTACTGGACACAATGACACTCTACTGGACACAATGACACTCTACTGAACACAATGACACTCTACTGAACACAATGAAACTCTACTGAACACAATGACACTCTACTGAACACAATGACACACTACTGAACACAATGACACACTACTGGACACAATGACACTCTACTGAACACGATGACACTCTACTGGACACAATGACACTCTACTGAACACAATGACACACTACTGAACACAATGACACACTACTGAACACAATGACACACTACTGAACACAATGACACTCTACTGGACACAATGACACTCTACTGAACACGATGACACTCTACTGGACACAATGACACTCTACTGAACACAATGACACTCTACTGAACACAATGACACACTACTGAACACAATGACACTCTACTGAACACAATGACACACTACTGAACACAATGACACACTACTGAACACAATGACACACTACTGAACACAATGACACACTACTGAACACAATGACACTCTACTGAACACAATGACACTCTACTGGACACAATGACACTCTACTGGACACGATGACACTCTACTGGACACAATGACACTCTACTGGACACAATGACACTCTACTGGACACAATGACACTCTACTGAACACTATGACACTCTACTGGACACAATGACACTCTACTGGACACAATGACACTCTACTGGACACAATGACACTCTACTGGACACAATGACACTCTACTGAACACAATGACACACTACTGAACACAATGACACACTACTGAACACGATGACACTCTACTGGACACAATGACACTCTACTGAACACAATGACACTCTACTGAACACAATGACACACTACTGAACACAATGACACTCTACTGAACACAATGACACACTACTGAACACAATGACACACTACTGAACACAATGACACTCTACTGAACACAATGACACACTAGACACAATGACACTCTACTGAACACAATGACACTCTACTGGACACAATGACACTCTACTGAACACAATGACACTCTACTGGACACAATGACACTCTACTGAACACAATGACACTCTACTGAACACAATGACACTCTACTGAACACAATGACACTCTACTGAACACAATGACACTCTACTGAACACAATGACACTCTACTGAACACAATGACACTCTACTGAACACAATGACACTCTACTGAACACAATGACACTCTACTGGACACAATGACACTCTACTGAACACAATGACACACTAGACACAATGACACTCTACTGAACACAATGACACTCTACTGAACACAATGACACTCTACTGGACACAATGACACTCTACTGGACACAATGACACACTAGACACAATGACACTCTACTGAACACAATGACACTCTACTGAACACAATGACACTCTACTGAACACAATGACACTCTACTGAACACAATGACACTCTACTGAACACAATGACACACTAGACACAATGACACTCTACTGAACACAATGACACTCTACTGGACACAATGACACTCTACTGGACACAATGACACTCTACTGAACACGATGACACTCTACTGAACACAATGACACTCTACTGGACATGATGACACTCTACTGGACACAATGACACTCTACTGAACACAATGACACTCTACTGGACACAATGACACTCTACTGAACACGATGACACTCTACTGAACACAATGACACTCTACTGGACATGATGACACACTACTGGACATGATGACACTGTACATGATGACACTCTACTGGACATGATGACACACTACTGGACACAATGACACTCTACTGGACACAATGACACTCTACTGAACACAATGACACTCTACTGGACATGATGACACACTACTGGACATGATGACACTGTACATGATGACACTCTACTGGACATGATGACACTCTACTGGACATGATGACACTCTACTGGACACGATGACACTCTACTGGACACAATGACACTCTACTGGACACAATGACACACTAGACACAATGACACTCTACTGGACATGATGACACTCTACTGACACAATGACACTCTACTGGACATGATGACACTCTACTGGACACAATGACACTCTACTGGACACACCTTGAGGAGAAACAATCAGAGAATCACCAAATAGACACTGAAATGAGAGACAGAAGATGACACTCTACTAGACACGATGACACTTTACTGGACACACCCTGAGGAGAAGCAATCATAGAATCACCAAACAGACACTGAAATGAGAGACAGAAGATGACACTCTACTAGACACGATGACACTCTACTGGACACACCCTGAGGAGAAGCAATCAGAGAATCACCAAACAGACACTGAAATGAGAGACAAATAGACTGTGAAACAAGGACACGATATCAGAAATATTGCACAGGGAAGAATGGACTGGAGTACAAGTCTGTGTGATGTTTAAATGGTACAACACAAATATGATGATGATGTTGTTCAGGTCATCACAGACCAGCCGCAGCATTACTAACTTGTTTGTGGCCCTTCAAATATGTACAGAAATTTATTTTAAAGTTGGATGGAATTAAAGTTCAAGTCAAGCCGATCAACTTCATTGCACTGGATTTGATTTCATAGGCTTGGTCTCTGTCTTAAGAATGTCTAGCAACCTGCTGACAGTGTCACACAAAGCACAGATTCTGTTGCTCCAGCTATGATCTCCAGATGTCTCTGTAAATAACTGCACTTCTGAACTGAATGACTCAGTGTGTGATACAAACCAATGACCTTTAACGTAGGAGGGAAATGGCTTGACCACTTTACTACTTTGCCATGTTGTTCTCTTCAAAGATATGATTACTCTCATGAAAACTAGCGTCAAAAACATATTCAAATAATAATTTCTATTCAAACTGTTGTTTGCTGATGTGTATATAGAGGTTTGCTGATGTGTACATAGAGGTTTGCTGATGTGTACATAGAGGTTTGCTGATGTGTACCCCTACATCTTTGGCATAAGAGATAAGGCTGGCACAGAACCAATACTAAATTACATACAACAACACAAAAAAAATGTTTTGCTTCCTTGCAGTGCTATAACTTACAAGGCATACACCAAAATAGACGAGGGACCTAGAACACGAGGTAGACCAAGAACAAGATGGAAAGATAATGCCAGAAAAACTCTACATCAGCATTGTGAGTCTATAGCTAAAGTGGCCAGAAGTGCAAGAAGCAGAACCTTGCTTATCTCATGACAGCTGAGGCGGTAAAACAGGAAGTGAAGAAGAAGAAGCATCTGTGAAATCGGCCCAGTCTCATAAAATGGATCCCAGAATTGTCTAGGAAGGATGGAAGTAACAAGAGAACTGGTGACACTGCCTCACTATCTCAGGACCTAGAAGATGTGAAGACCTAACTCTTACAAATACCCCAACAGCAGCATGTGCCATTTAACTGCCTCACTGTCTTATGACCTAGAATATGTGAAGACATCACTCGCACAAATACCCCATCGGCAGCACATGCCATGTAACTGCCTGTAGATGTGCTTACATTGCGGGTTTGTGTTTTTTTTTAGCACACCACCAAGCAGAACTTCTGCTTTTGAAGAGTTCAAGGCCGACAAAGGAAGCGAGATCAATCGCATACTTATTGAAAATAAAGGTAAGTGCAAGCAGGAACATTGTATTAATAAGTGTGTGGAACCAGCCATTCAGTCTAGCTACTTATGGAATCATGGCCTACACATACCTGGAAAGAACCCTATGATTTCAGACACGTAACATGTGTCACCGCCATCACCCTGGTCATCATGCTGCTAGCAGGCATAGAAAGGGCAATTCTGGCCACCTAGACTGTTTTGCAGAGCATGCTGGGAATACCCATGCACCTCTGTTTCATCCTATCACAAACCATCTGTATAGATCAGAATTGTCAACTAAACAGGCATGGTACCAGTTGGGTGTGGGTCTGTTGTCCTTTGGAAGATAAAGAACAGAAGCAGCAGCAGCAGAAGTAGGAGGAGAAGAAGAAGAAGGATTAGGAAGAGAAGAAGAAGAGGAAGAAACAACTTGTACAATGAATATTTGTGCTTGCTAACTGCGCCGCGGTTACATGGTATTGTATAGACTGAAATTATTTCTAAAAAAGATAAAACATTTTTTTTTTAACACAAATTAATTTTCTGAAGAAGTGAGCGTTGACTCCCTCTTTTTAAAGTACTGTTTGTATTCTGGTTTATGCAAAATTCGCTGAGGAATAAACGGGACACTGTAAACTCAGAGCACACAGTTATCAATCGGGTCTCACTGACTGCCACATGCAGATGGGAGCACTAAAACAGATGGGTCTCACTGACTGCCACATGCAGATGGGAGCACTAAAACAGATGGTTCTCACTGACTGCCACATGCAGATGGGAGCACTAAAACAAAAGCACAAGAAATGTCTGACAAAAACACCTAGAGTTTGCCAGCCAGAGAGAGGAAACCTGACCTATAGAAGTGGACCTTCATGAAATAGCAGGAAGTCCTGTTGAAGACCTCAAGCTATCCAACCTTATGTGGCCTGTGTTGAAACAGACACATAGAGAAAGCTGATTGTTGAAGCCTGGATGATGAGGATTGAAATCAGGGGCCAGTGAAGTCACCTTGATGATGTCAGGGGCCAGTTAAGTAGCTTTGGGGATGTCAGGGACTAATTAAGTGGCTTTGGCGATGTCAGGGGCAGGTGAAGTAACCTTGATGATGTCAGGGAGTAATTAAGTGACTTTGGGGATGTCAGGGGCAGGTGAAGTAACCTTGATGATGTCAGGAAGTAATTAAGTGGCTTTGGGGATGTCAGGGAGCAATTAAGTAGCTTTGGCGATGTCAGGAACTAATTAAGTGGCTTTAGGGATGTCAGGGGCAGGTGAAGTAACCTTGATGATGTCAGGAACTAATTAAGTGGCTTTGGGGATGTCAGGAACTAATTAAGTGGCTTTAGGGATGTCAGGGGCAGGTGAAGTAACCTTGATGATGTCAGGAACTAATTAAGTGGCTTTGGGGATGTCAGGGGCCAGTTAAGTAGTTTTGGGGATGTCAGGGACTAATTAAGTAGCTTTGGGGATGTCAGGGACTAATTAAGTAGCTTTGGGGATGTCAGGGACTAATTAAGTAGCTTTGGGGATGTCAGGGACTAATTAAGTAGCTTTTAGGATGTCAGGGGCAGGTGAAGTAACCTTAATGATGTCAGGGACAAATTAAGTGGCTTTGGAGATGTCAGGGGCAGGTGAAGTAACCTTAATGATGTTAGGGGCCAGTTAAGTAGTTTTGGGGAGGTCAGGGATAATTAAGTAGCTTTTGGGATGTCATGGACTAATTAAGTAGCTTTGGGGATGTCAGGGACTAATTAAGTAGCTTTGGGGATGTCAGGGACCAATTAAGTAGCTTTGGGGATGTCAGGGACTAATTAAGTAGCTTTGGGGATGTCAGGGACTAATTAAGTAGCTTTGGGGATGTCAGGGACAGGTGAAGTAACCTTGATGATGTCAGGGACCAGTTTAGTAGTTTTGGGGATGTCAGGGACTAATTAAGTAGCTTTTGGGATGTCAGGGGCAGGTGAAGTAACCTTGATGATGTCAGGGACAAATTAAGTGGCTTTGGGGATGTCAGGTGCAGGTGAAGTAACCTTGATGATGTCAGGGACTAATTAAGTAGCTTTGGGGATGTCATGGACTAATTAAGGAGCTTTGGCGATGTCAGGAACTAATTAAGTAGCTTTGGGGATGTCAGGGACAAATTAAGTAGCTTTGGGGATGTCATGGACTAATTAAGTAGCTTTAGGGATGTCAGGGGCAGGTGAAGTAGCTTTGGGGATGTCACGGGACAAATTAAGTAGCTTTGGGGATGTCAGGGACTAATTAAGTAGCTTTTGGGATGTCAGGGGCAGGTGAAGTAACCTTGCTGATGTCAGGGACTAATTAAGTAGCTTTTGGGATGTCAGGGACTAATTAAGTAGCTTTAGGGATGTCAGGGACAAATTAAGTATCTTTGGGGATGTCATTGACTAATTAAGTGGCTTTGGGGATGTCAGGGACTAATTAAGTAGCTTTTGGAATGTCAGGTACTAATTAAGTAGCTTTAGGGATGTCAGGGACAAATTAAGTAGCTTTGGGGATGTCATTGACTAATTAAGTGGCTTTGGGGATGTCAGGGACTAATTAAGTAGCTTTAGAGATGTCAGGGACTAATTAAGTAGCTTTGGGGATGTCAGGGACCAATTAAGTAGCTTTGGGGATGTCAGGGACTAATTAAGTAGCTTTGACAATGTCAGGGACTAATTAAGTAGCTTTTGGGATGTCAGGGGCAGGTGAAGTAACCTTGATGATGTCAGGGACAAATTAAGTGGCTTTGGGGATGACAGGGGCTAATTAAGTAGCCTTTGGGGTGTCAAGGACTAATTAAGTAGCTTTGGGGATGTCAGGGACTAATTAAGTGGCTTTGGGGATGTCAGGGACTAATTAAGTGGCTTTGGGGATGTCAGGGACTAATTAAGTGGCTTTGGGGATGTCAGGGACAGGTGAAGTAACCTTAATTATGTCAGGGACTAATTAAGTGGCTTTGGGGATGTCAGGGACTAATTAAGTGGCTTTGGGGATGTCAGGGGCAGGTGAAGTAACCTTGCTGATGTCAGGGACTAATTAAGTGGCTTTGGGGATGTCAGGGACTAATTAAGTGTCTTTGGGGATGTCAGGGGCTAATTAAGTGGCTTTGGGGATGTCAGGGACTAATTAAGTGGCTTTAGGGATGTCAGGGGCCGGTGACGTCACCTTGATGATCAGATAACCAAACACCACTCTTAGGACTGCTTAACGTGTTGATGATGAAATCTTCATTTTCTTCTTCTTCTTTTTTTCATCTTCTTTTTTCCCCTTCTGGTTCTTCTTCGCAATGACTGGTTGTAAACTGTGGTTAAAAAGTCCCGGTTGTTCATGCACTTCTAGACTTTAGTCATGTTCTGGTACTTGAGTTTTGAGTGCACACCCATTTTACAGATCTTGCTTAAATGCAGACTGTTGGCTGCTCGCCTCTCAGGCAGATGCACTCCAACTTCAAATCAAAAGCTGATCCAATCTATGCTGGCCAGGTTTCCCATTAGGAACCTGCTTCTAGGACGACCATGGAGAAGTAAAGGCAGGTCTTGACCAAGATCAGCCCTGGTCGTGCTGCACCTGATGATGGTGACAACAGACTGCAGTGAACTAAGATGATGAGACACTTTAACATTAACTTTGCCCTAAAAAACACAAAAATAACTTCAGGTTTTTTTGTTTAATCTGCCGCCTTTGCCACCATTTTGTTTCACTGGACAGAAATTTTGGTTAACAAGAAGAAGACTTACTCAGAGCTGGCAAACGAGGTCAACAAGTTGAAATACTCCATTGATCAAACCAGAGAGAAACTGGAGCAGCTGAAAGCACAGAGAGAAGCTGATGGTGAGATATTTGTTACTTTCTTTTACTATAATTGTTTCATCTCTTTTGCTTGTTTTATGAAATAAAATGTTTATTCTATCTACTTCTTCTTCTTTATTTGCTGTGTTGTAGTTTACAGCTAGGTTACAATATATATGCATTTTGGCCCAAAATATCCAATTTCAGCAAGCCGCTAGTTATTATCCTTTTGCGAAGTTCTATTTAGGGAGTCAATGGGTCTATTCATTTTCCCCAAAACGAGACTGCAGAACCCACACAGGGAAAATGTTTATTAGTCTTTATAATCCTTGCCATGTGGTTGTGATCCTCTTGCCTGTCCACAACCTTCTGTCTCTCTTCATCTCCATCTTCCTCTCTTCTCCACCAGTTTCCCTGTTGCCACAGTGTACTCCAGTTATCCCATCTCATAACACACCCAGAACAAACACATTGAATGTCTTCTGTTTCTGATAAGAAGTTCTGTTAATGAGTTCAGTTTCTCTAGAACATCTTCATGACACATTGTATCTGCTCATTGTGTCCTTCTCACTCTCCTGTACAGAAACATTGCTCATGATTTCCAAGTTCTCTGCTTCAGACATCGTTGTATGTGTTGCTGATGAGAGATCTGCCACAGTTACTGAGATACACACATTAGAATATACTTCCACTAGTGAAATGCTGCTCTTGCTTGAGTATTGTTCATTGAGCATTTGTTGCATCTTTCATCTGCAGTCACTATGTACCCAAGGGTATTGTTCATTGAGCATTTGTTGCATCTTTCATCTGCAGTCACTATGTACCCAAGGGTATTGTTCATTGAGCATTTGTTGCATCTTTCATCTGCAGTCACTATGTACCCAAGGGTATTGTTCATTGAGCATTTGTTGCATCTTTCATCTGCTGTCACTTTGTACCCAAGGGTATTGTTCATAACATATTTGTTGCATCTTTCATCTGCAGTCACTATGTACCCAAGGGTATTGTTCATTGAGCATTTGTTGCATCTTTCATCTGCTGTCACTTTGTACCAAAGGGTATTGTTCATTGAGCATTTGTTGCATCTTTCATTTGCAGTCACTATGTACCCAAGGGTATTGTTCATTGAGCATTTGTTGCATCTTTCATCTGCTGTCACTTTGTACCCAAGGGTATTGTTCATAACATATTTGTTGCATCTTTCATCTGCAGTCACTATGTACCCAAGGGTATTTCATTGAACATTTGTTGCATCTTTCATCTGCAGTCACTATGTACCCAAGGGTATTGACTTGCTTTAGTCTCATTATTTTTTCTTTGTCATTGCCAATACTTTTGTTTTTCTTCTTCTTGTGATCGCTCTTTGATTTACACTGACAGACGAGTTCTTGTGATATAGTTGACTGTTTGTGAAGTTCCTGTTTAGCTCCTTACAGCTGTGAGTAAGGTGTTGACTTCTTGATGGGCTGGCTGTTCAAGGGAAGACAGTCTTGAGGAAATGTTCTGCGGTGCATGCACAGCTGCCATGGGCACAGGAACTAGATGAAGCCCATGCATGTTCTTGTGCAAGTTCATACTGTTCTCACTCCCCTCTTCTGTTGAAATTATATCTGTAATTTCTTTCTTAATCATCCAGAACTCTCAGTCTAAAGGCTGATATCAAGTCTTTGTACAGGCCACCACCATTGCAACTCTATGACTGTCCATGAACCAATTAACCAGAAACAGTTATTTCCCTTATATTCCAGGGGCAGTTGTCAGTAAATGTCTTCTAAGCCTGCTACTAGAGCTACTACTGCAGCTGTTGCTGCTAACTACTGTTAATACTACTACTGCTCCATTACTACCACTACAACTACTACTGCTCCATTACTACCACTACAACTACTACTGCTCCATTACTACCACTACAACTACTACCACTACACTACAACTACTACTGCTCCATTACTACCACTACTACTGCAACTACCACTACAACTACTACTGCTCCATTACTACCACTACAACTATTGCTGCTCCATTACTACCACTACAACTACTACTGCTCCATTACTACCACTACAACTACTACTGCTCCATTACTACCACTACAGCTACTGCTGCTCCATTACTACCACTACAACTCCTACTGCTGCTCCATTACTACCACTACAACTACTACTGCTCCATTACTACCACTACAACTACTACTGCTCCATTACTACCACTACAACTACTACTGCTCCATTACTACCACTACAACTACTACTGCTCCATTACTACCACTACAACTACTACTGCTCCATTACTACCACTACAACTACTGCTGCTCCATTACTACCACTACAACTACTACTACTCCATTACTACCACTACAACTACTACTGCTCCATTACTACCACTACAACTACTGCTGCTCCATTACTACCACTACAACTACTAACACCACTACTGCTGCTATGACTGCCATGGCCAACTACTACTATTTATTACAGACATTGTAATTTATTTGGTTTCTGTATGATGATTATGATGATGATTATCACTAGGCCCTATTTTCAACGACGACGGAGATATCATCATCAGCGAGGCTGAGTACCTGGAGATCCAGAAGCTGAAAGAACTGAAGACTAGCTACCGGAGCAAGTACGACGAACTTCACAACGTCCGAGCTGAGATCATGTACTGTCAGAAACTGGTGGACCAGTGCCGCCTGAGACTCATACAAGGTGAGGTACATACATGATGGGGTACATACATGGTGAGATACATATATGATGAGGTACATACATGATGGGGTACATACAAGGTGAGATACATACATGATGGGGTACATACATGATGAGGTACATACAAGATGAGGTACATACATGATGAGGTACATACAAGGTGAGATACATACAAGGTGAGGTACATACATGGTGAGATACATACATGGTGAGGTACATATATGATAAGGTGCATACATGGTGAGGTACATACATGATGAGGTACATACATGGTGAGATACATATATGATGAGGTACATACATGATGAGGTACATACAAGGTGAGATACATACATGATGAGGTACATACATGATAAAGTACATACAAGATGAGGTACATACATGATGAGGTACATACAAGATGAGATACATACAAGGTGAGGTACATACATGGTGAGATACATACATGATGAGGTACATACATGATGAGATACATACATGATGAGGTACATACATGATGAGGTACATACATGATGAGGTACATACATGATGAGGTACATACAAGGTGAGATACATACAAGGTGAGGTACATACATGATGAGTTACATACAAGGTGAGATACATACAAGGTGAGGTACATACATGATGAGTTACATACAAGGTGAGATACATACAAGGTGAGGTGCATACATGGTGAGATACATACATGGTGAGGTACATACATGGTGATATACATACATGATGAGATACATACATGATGAGGTACATCCATGGTGAGATACATACATGATGAGATACATACATGATGAGATACATACAAGGTGAGGTACATACATGATGAGATACATACATGGTGAGGTACATACATGATGAGATACATACATGATGAGATACATACATGATGAGGTACATACATGGTGAGATACATACATGATGAGATACATACATGATGAGGTACATACAAGGTGAGGTACATACATGATGAGATACATACATGATGAGGTACATACAAGGTGAGATACATACATGATGAGATACATACATGATGAGGTACATACAAGGTGAGGTACATACATGATGAGATACATACATGATGAGGTACATACATGATGAGGTACATACATGATGAGATACATACATGATGAGATACATACATGATGAGATACATACATGGTGAGGTACATACATGGACATACATGGTGAGGTACATACATGATGAGGTACATACATGATGAGATACATACATGATGAGATACATACATGATGAGATACATACATGGTGAGGTACATACATGATGAGATACATACATGATGAGATACATACATGATGAGATACATACATGATGAGATACATACATGATGAGATACATACATGATGACATACATGAGATACATACATGATGAGATACATACATGATGAGATACATACATGATGAGATACATACATGATGAGATACATACATGATGAGATACATACATGATGAGATACATACATGATGAGATACATACATGATGAGATACATACATGATGAGATACATACATGATGAGATACATACATGATGAGATACATACATGATGAGATACATACATGATGAGATACATACATGATGAGATACATACATGATGAGATACATACAAGGTGAGGTACATACATGATGAGGTACATACATGATGAGATACATACATGATGAGATACATACATGATGAGATACATACATGGTGAGGTACATACATGATGAGATACATACATGATGAGATACATACATACATGATGAGATACATACATGATGAGATACATACATGAGGTACATGAGATGAGATACATACATGATGAGATACATACATGATGAGATACATACATGATGAGATACATACATGAGGTACATACATGATACATACATACATGATGAGATACATACATGATGAGATACATACATGATGAGATACATACATGATGAGATACATACATGATGAGATACATACATGATGAGATACATACATGATGAGATACATACATGATGAGATACATACATGATGAGATACATACAATGTGAGGTACATACATGATGAGATACATACATGATGAGATACATACATGATGAGATACATACAAGGTGAGGTACATACATGATGAGATACATACATGGTGAGATACATACATGGTGAGATACATACATGATGAGATACATACATGATGAGATACATACATGATGAGATACATACATGATGAGATACATACATGATGAGATACATACATGATGAGATACATACATGATGAGATACATACATGATGAGGTACATACATGATGAGGTACATACATGATGAGATACATACATGGTGAGATACATACATGGTGAGATACATACATGATGAGATACATACATGATGAGATACATACATGATGAGATACATACATGGTGAGATACATACATGATGAGATGAGGTATACATGATGAGATACATACATGATGAGATACATACATGACATACATGATGAGATACATACATGATGAGATACATACATGATGAGATACATACATGATGACATACATACATACATGATGAGATACATACATGATGAGATACATACATGGTGAGGTACATACATGATGAGATACATACATGATGAGATACATACATGATGAGATACATACATGATGAGATACATACATGATGAGATACATACATGATGAGATACATACATGATGAGATACATACATGATGAGATACATACATGATGAGATACATACATGATGAGATACATACATGATGAGATACATACATGATGAGATACATACATGATGATGAGAGATACATACATGATGAGATACATGATGAGATACATACATGATGAGATACATACATGATGAGATACATACATGATGAGATACATACATGATGAGATACATACATGATGAGATACATACATGATGAGATACATACATGATGAGATACATACATGATGAGATACATACATGGTGAGATACATACATGATGAGATACATACATGATGAGATACATACATGATGAGATACATACAAGGTGAGATACATACAAGGTGAGATACATACATGGTGAGGTACATACATGGTGAGAGATACATACATGATGAGAGGTACATACATGATGAGATACATACATGACAGATACATACATGATGAGATACATACATGATGAGAGATACATACATGATGAGATACATACAAGGTGAGATACATACATGAGATACATACATGATGAGATACATACATGAGATACATACATACATACACATGATGAGATACATACATGATGAGATATACATACATACATGATGAGATACATACATGATGAGATACATACATGATGAGATACATACATGATGAGATACATACATGATGAGATACATACATGATGAGATACATACATGATGATGAGATACATACATGGTGAATACATACATGATGAGATACATACATACATGATGAGATACATACATGGTGAGATACATACAAGGTGAGATACATACATGATGAGATACATACATGATGAGATACATACAAGGTGAGGTACATACATGATGAGATACATACATGGTGAGATACATACATGATGAGGTACATACATGATGAGATACATACATGATGAGGTACATACATGAGATACATACATGAGATACATACATGATGAGGTACATACATGATGAGATACATACATGATGAGATACATACATGATGAGATACATACATGATGAGATACATACATGATGAGATACATACATGATGAGATACATACATGATGAGATACATACATGATGAGATACATACATGATGAGATACATACATGATGAGATACATACATGATGAGATACATACAATGTGAGGTACATACATGATGAGATACATACATGGTGAGATACATACAAGGTGAGATACATACAAGGTGAGGTACATACATGATGAGATACATACATGATGAGGTACATACAAGGTGAGATACATACATGATGAGGTACATACATGGTGAGATACATACATGGTGAGGTACATACATGATGAGGTACATACATGGTGAGATACATACATGATGAGATACATACATGATGAGGTACATACATGATGAGGTACATACATGATGAGATACATACAAGGTGAGATACATACAAGGTGAGGTACATACATGATGAGATACATACAAGGTGAGATACATACAAGGTGAGGTACATACAAGGTGAGATACATACAAGGTGAGGTACATACATGATGAGGTACATACAAGATGAGGTACATACGAGATGAGATACATACGAGATGAGGTACATACAAGATGAGGTACATACAATATGAGGTACATACATGATGAGGTACATACAAGGTGAGGTACATACAAGGTGAGGTACATACAAGGTGAGATACATACATGATGAGATACATACAGTACGTTATATACAAGGTGAGGTACATACAAGGTGAGGTACATACAAGGTGAGGTACATACAAGGTGAGATACATACAAGGTGAGATACATACATGATGAGATACATACAAGGTGAGATACATACAAGGTGAGGTACATACAAGGTGAGGTACATACAAGGTGAGATACATACAAGGTGATATACATACAAGGTGAGGTACATACAAGGTGAGATACATACAAGGTGAGATACATACAAGGTGAGGTACATACATGATGAGATACATACAAGGTGAGATACATACAAGGTGAGATACATACAAGGTGAGATACATACAAGGTGAGATACATACAAGGTGAGGTACATACAAGGTGAGATACATACAAGGTGAGGTATATACATGATGAGATACATACATGATGAGATACATACAAGGTGAGATACATACAAGGTGAGATACATACAAGGTGAGATACATACAAGGTGAGATACATACAAGGTGAGATACATACAAGGTGAGATACATACAAGGTGAGATACATACAAGGTGAGATACATACAAGGTGAGGTACATACATGATGAGGTACATACAAGGTGAGGTACATACATGATGAGATACATA